AAAAAAAAAAAAAAAAAAAGAATTAAACCTTTTCATGCTATTTTCCCCAAACCTAACTCTTTCACCTCCCTATCTCATTTTCTTAAATAAGCCCCTCGAAGAGAAAATTCCTAGCTCTGCCATTAATTATAGTTAATAAAATATTATAATGTTGGAAAATAAAATTATTAATTAATTTATATTGGAAAATAAAAGATAAATTAGTGTAATTTTGTTAGTAAACTACCTAATAAAAAATAAATATTTAATGACAATTTTAAATAATTTTCAATAAATATCCATAATTACACAAATGTAATAAACTTTTCAAAAAATTTCATAAAACTACATTTTCGTAAAATAACGTTTTGGAAATTAAAAGATATAAAATTTTTGAAAGTTTATTTAAAATGTATTAAATAATTATTGGAATATTTTGGAAATATTAGGAAAATTTATTACATTTGATAGATTTTGGAAAACTATTGAAAAATTATGTAATTTTCATTGTAAATTATTAAAGATAAATGAGTATGGGAAAAGGAAAATTATAATTTGAACCAATAATTACACAAATTATTAAGATAAATTAGTATAATATCAGAAAATGAAATTATTGATTAGTTTATATTAGAAAATATAAGATAAATTAGTGTAATTCTGTAAGTAAACCATTTAAAAAGAAAATAAATTATTTAATAATAGTTTAAAAATAAATTTTCAAAATTACTCAAATGTAATAAATTTTCCAAAATTTTCATAAAATTATATATTTGAAAATTAAAAACAATTTAGTGTACTTTTAGAAATTTACCATGTGGCTGATACTCAGTATATCCTTTTGATCATTTTTGTCATCAATTTGAATATTGGTTGACGGGGAGTGGGTTCCTTGCCTTAAACCTGCCTGACATTAGAGACGGAGCGGGAAAAATTCGAGGATTTCCCATCTTTGATGAAGAGTGGATTCCTTGCCTTGAACTCACCCAACATTGAGGACGAGGTGGGAAAATTTGAGGATTATCTATCCCTAACGGGGAGTGGGTGCCTTGGCTTGAACTCGCTTGACACTAGGATGGGGCAGAGATGGGATAGAGTGTCTTGACTATAGAGCGGGGACAAGGATGGGGTGTCTCACCCCGTTTCCATTCCTATATAATTGTTAATTATTAGTGAAATTAATAAGGATGTTAGCTTTGTAAATATTTTTATTTATTTAAAGTCAATCAAATTTTCATTTAAAAATAATGAAAATAATAATAGTTATTAAAATTACTACAAATGATTAATAAAATTAAATTTATTAAAAAATATCTGTTCATATTAAATTAACAATAATTATTTTTTATAAATCAACATTAAATGAAAAATACAATTATTAAATTGTTAAATATTAACAATAGTAATTGTAATAGATTTTAATTATTTTAGTTAATTAATAAAAGATTTTAATTATTAATTAATTAATAGTAAATAAAATTATTCAGTCCCTGCTAGTATTGAATATACCAACTGCAACACATAATTGTAATAGATAGAAGTCAAGTTCGTTTGTTCCAAACTTATTAGGAATTTAAAATGCTTTACTTTTTATTATTAAACATTTTTTATTTTTTGTTATTGGGTAAGGATGTATATAAGGTAAGTGTTCATTTTCGCTATATAAAAAGTGTTCCACATCAAGTCATCAAGTAGGGCGTCACAACTCACAACAATGAATGCTCCCTCTATTCGGCCTAAACTTTTTGGCTCATATTGGAAAGAATACAAATACAGGGTTTATGTAGAGAGTACTCTGCATATTTGTATTTGTATTTGTACTCCTTTCAAACTGAGCCAATCACCATTAGCATTAGGTTACAATTAATTTAAAGTGTAATGAATTATTAAACATATAAAAGGCATACTTACCAAATAAGTTCCAAGTGTTTGAGGGAAAAAAAAAGCATCATTAGACCAAATTGACCCTGCATCAATAATTTTTATCCTCTTCTTCTCACCAAGAATCTAGATATACCCAAATTGGAAATTATGGTGATGAGGTACTTACCCTTCAAAGGAAAAGCCCTACTGTATTTGACCTGGCAATTTAAATCAATGAACTGCTTATGAAATATATGTTAATTGGACCTTATCTTTTCATTTATTCAGCCCAACCCAACTCTCCTGTTTTGTCATATTGCTATGTATAAAAAATAAAATTAGTGGATATAAATGAGGTCGCTTACCTTGGAAGAAGGGAGGTTGTCAAATTCTAACCAGAAAGAAGGTAGGGACTAGGGATGGATTTCTTGCCGTATGAAACTTAACATGACAGACAAGTTGAAGATAACAAATGGTAATCTATTATTTCTCCTCCATCACTTCTCTCTCTATTACCATATTAAATGCCTTGCCCATTGTGTCACCTCATCTTCAAGCCTAAAGCTCTCACTTTTCATTCACTTTAGGCTGGAGAAAGGAACCATGGTACCAACCGATTGTGCTGGTAATGTCTTGGGATGCATCACCATTTTCAACCATGGTTTTAAAAAACGATATGGAAATGTAACCGTTCTGGCCACTGTCACCGGTTTTTAGGTCAAGTCCGAATGTCCAACATTCTAATTTGAATGGATTGTTCATTTTGATTAAAATAAAAAAATAAAAAATAAAAAATAAAAATGGCAAAAAACCATTGAATAGATTGGCAGTTCAATTATCCGGGTCAATAAATTATTGATTGATTCAACGATTTTTTGTCAGGGATCGGGTTTAAGGTAAAATAGAACCAGTTGTTTGGACGGTTCCTATGCCGAACGGTCCGACCATCCAAATCAATGACGATTCGAAAACTATGTTTTCAACGATTCGAAAGAAATCCCATCTTTACTTGAAGGTGTTGAGTTTAGATCTACACAACTGCACCCACCGATGATAATACCAGAAATAATGATGTCATCATCGAGAAATATTCCCGGTACAGATGAACTCGACGGTATTATCATCGATAATTTTTGAAATTCTCAATTCCTATGACGATTGTTATCATGAGAGAGAAAGAGAGGGACCTCATTGAATTAAATTGGCCGAAAAGAAAAGGGAAATAGTGGTAATTAGAGCACTTTTCATTCTTCGATAATCTTTTTTGATAGGAAATAAAATCTTTTTTTTTGATAAATTGGACAGAACTGTAAATAGGGCAAAGAAAAAGTGTTGTTTCTAAAAGACAAACGCTGATACCGCCTTTATTAAGGAAAAAGGACGCCTCTTTGTCTTTTTTTCATGGGTAAACAGCTTGGCATGTGAAAATTAGGATGTGCCATGGTCAGTCCTCTCATCCCATAACAGATTTCTGAAAGGGCTGAATTGGATGATTTATTGATTTTGTTCTTTAGTGAATAAATTATTAAGGAGGTTTGTGAACTTCATTTATGAGGTGCTGGATAATATGATCTCTCTCTGTCTCTCTGTATTCCACTCTAGTCCAGTGTTCTAGTGTGGTTGAGGCCATGTGGTTTGGGTGATACCCCACCCCATGAAGCGTTCTGTTGTATCTTTTATGTATGTGGACCATTTTGAAATAAACAACAACAACAACACAAACCTCATAAATGCATTGTGTAACTGATGCCATTAATTTTGCAATGCATTGTGTAAGTGTGACCAATTAATCCATGGGAATTCCACACCACAGAGAACACCAACTTAATGACCCAAACTGAAATTGGGTTGATTCATTGATTGCTATAAAGCTAAGTTTGGTTTAGTAGGAATTAAGACAGAAACGAAACAGAAACAGAAGAGTTATAGATGGCTAAGTAGCCACTGTTGTAAGAGTTTGAATTCCCAAGTATGACACAGGAGACCGACCAGTGATGAATAGCGATGATCGTCCTTTTTAATACCGAACCGGATACTGGACCTGATTTGTGGAAATCACATGTACGGAGCTGGCATAGTGTATTGTGATTGGCCCATGCTTGAGAATTTAGCATATTAAGCAGAATTCCATTTTTATTTATTTTTTGTTATTTTTAAGGAATTCCGTACCAAATGTCAAATGGGTCCGTGGTCACCCCTAAAAGCTGTATTTTGGTAATCGATACATGTAAAGTTTTTGGAAATGGAAACTGGGATTTTGTATTAAAACATTCAAGTTGAAATCGAAAATTGATATTTGTTATCCGACTTTATCAATAAACAAAAATTCGAAAAAAAATGGGTTTAATTTGTTACGCACTTTCGAGGTGGGTTGTTGGGTTTTCTTGTTTCTTGTTTGTAAAAAAAAAAAAAAAATCAGCTGGTTAATGGGTTCTTAATATAGTTATCAAGGTGGGTTTTGTTTTTTAAGTTGGAAAAAGAAAAACAGGACGACAATGGCGGAGACAGGACGTAGGAGGAGTGCGAGACTGTCTGCACTAGAAGCGTGTAAAGTCCAGCAAGCGACTTCTGTGGGGGACCCGCCAGATGCCCCACAACATACTAACAATGGAAAACGACCCTTAGCCTTGGTCGAGCAGGATACGCCAAGGAAGAGAGGTAGGAAGAAGAGGAGGCTTAGAACCGTAGAAGAAGTGGTAGTTAATTCTGTTTCAAGAGAAGCTGAGCAGGTTAATCCCAATTTCTTTATCTTCATTTTTTTTTTCATTTTATATTTATCCATTTCTTTACGCCATTTCTGTTTTTCTTTTTCTTTTTCCCCCAAGGGAGACCTTTTGATTTTATCCTTTTCCTAGATATTCAACTAAATGTTAACAACTTTAATTTTTAAACTGATGGGCCTTTTCATTTTTTTTTTATTAATATACTGTTAGGACTGATATATACCTGACGGCTCGAGATGAGGAACTGGACTAAGAAACTGAGTTAGAACTTAGAACCAATAGATTAATATGGGTTTCAGAGGGTTTCAGTAAATTAAGCAATATTAACTGCACAAATTAGTTATCTATCTGCATTGCTTTCTTGGTCTTAGTATGCTTATCTCTTTCAAGTTTCAATTCGTGAAGTAAACATTTCTATTAATTCAATCTGTATCTTTACCCTGATTTTATATCGACTTTTTTGATAACAGAACCGGAGCTCTTACAGGCTAGTGGTTATCTATAAGCTCAGTTAGGAGGCGATTCATTTCATTCATTCTCATGTTTTCTGTTACTAAAAGAACAATACCAAGAATTCTAATATTTTAGTGGTCTTTTTAATCGATTTCCTGTTTGAATGGTCTTGTGATTTGATGCTTTTCAAGTTATATGGTGTAGATTGGTAAAATCAGATCACCTAGGAAATTGAATCCAATTGACCTTTTCCTTTACTTTCTGAACTTTATTTGTTAACCATTTGCTTTCTCCAACAATGGGGAGTATGTATCCAATTAATTTTGGGGGCTATAAAAAGAGTGACCCTCATGCTGGTTTGGAGAATTCCAAATTCCACCCACACCGGCAGTTACAAGCATTTGAGAGATTATTCTTTATTCAGTGATCATTACAAGTACTTTGACATGTTTTGCCCTTTTTTTTTCTGACAAGTTGGTTTAATCTTACCATTACTTCTTCAATCTAGTTTATGCCATCAACTTGTTCATGCATGACTCAGAGATAACACCTTGACGTCATTCATCACATCTTAATTTTCTTTAAGATTTAAAATGAGAAAGAATATCTTCTTCACTTCCGAGCTGTTGCTCCACTACAAACTAATGGAAATGGTCCTTGAACACTTCAACCTGATCTTTTATGGAGATATATACCTGCATGGTATTAAATAGAATGTAATGGCTAATCGTGGTTCTTGTAGCCAACCCCATATAGTTAGGGAAAGGCTTCGATGATGATTATACCTGCATGATGAGTATAAAATTTATAAAAGTTCCTTTCCATCTATGCTTTCCAAGTATGGGTTGAACAATGTCTATGAAAGATGTAGATTGTTAAATGAAATCAAATATGGGCAGTTGCTTGGAGAGATGGTTTCTAGGATCGAAGAGGAAATAGGGATAGTGAACACACAAGTACAGCAAGCTTTATACAAATTGCAATTCTAAGTTTAGGATTAGTTTTTAGTACTACTCAATTTTTATATTAGAATATTATTATTCTGGCTACATGGCAGAGGTCAACATATATATTCTAGATTTCCTGTGTCTTCTGAGTTCTGATTTTGGTTTCTCATTCCAAATTATTTGCAGGAAAGAGAGAACCTAAAAGATGAAGGTCATACAACCAATATTGGTATATCTATTTTCCTCATCAAATATGCCATCCTAAAGTGGCATTTTAGGATTTCATACATAATCATGACATGTGAGTTAATAACCTTTCTATCTCTTTTGTCAGACCAATCATCAAAAGTGGCTTCTTCATCTTGGATGATAGAAAAACAAAAATTGGAGCTTATCCTTGATATACTACAAATGTAAGTACTCTTTTAAGATATTTGTCTTGGTTATATTTAGGATAAGTAAAAGCAATCTTATGAATAGAAACTCTGGAGGACAACTAAATGATTTAGAAAGGAAAAGTACAACTAAGTAACATTCTCATTGGAGTGTCTTTTCTTTCATACTTTAATTCAGGAGAGATAAGCATGAAATATTTGCCGAACCAGTTGACCCTGAAGAGGTTTGTATTGAATGCTTAGTTTCTACATTTTCTATATTGCACTTCAGCTTCCAATTGGTATGCAATTATTAACTGGGATCTTTTGTTTTGGAAGGTTGACGGTTATTATGAAATCATCAAGGAGCCAATGGACTTTGGCACCATGAGAGCAAAACTTCATGAAGGAATGTATACAACTCTAGAACAATTTGAGGTTTGTTCCATTTTCACCCATTCTTATTGTTGGTTCGGCTGTCTTAATTTGTATGTTTATCTTTGTTGGGTCTTAAGTCATTAGTTATTGGGCCTTAGTTACTGGGCCTAATCTTATTTAGTGTTTATTTTGACTAGGTGTCCCATCACTAATCAGG